CCACGAGGTGCGGGGGTTGGGTGCTCAGATTAAAAGTAGATACACATTCCATGGACAGAGTGCGGGCCGTCTCTGAAGAGGGAGAGAGAAGGGGCGGTGGCTGCGGGGCACCGTGTTGCCAGTTTGTATGGGCTTGGTGACTTCATAGTAAGTGGAAGGACCAGTCTAACTAACCTGGGATTCCCAGGAAGTTGGCCATTTCCCACTCTTTGACCTTCTGTGGCCAGCCTTGGGGCTGCCGTGGCACCTGTGGGCATGGTATTCACTATGGTAATATATTACAATAGGCATATAATGAAGCTCACTATCTCCTAGAAGTGAAATCTCCCACCATCTTGAGCCCCCAGGCCTACTAGGGGTTGAATCTGCCACCATTTTGATGTTAATTGCTGCGTCATTCCTTGAATGACTGTACCTTGCCCCCTTCCTGTCTCATGAAGTTCAAACCCGTGTTGTTCAAGGGTCAAATTATAAAATTTGTAGGAAAATAAAACAAAAAAGAGGGAGTTAGGTCTATAAAATATAAAATTATAGTAATAGTCCAGTAGTAAAAGCAGTTTGGTATTAATAGTTATCTGATAGATTAATAAAATATAGTCCACAATTACTTGAAAATAGTGGTTAAGGTTGTATTCAAATAATTAAAGAAAAATTATATTGGGTAATAAATAATGTGGATACAAATGGCTGGCTTCTTGGGCAAAAAATGAAGTAGAAGCTATATCTCACACCTCATGTCCAAATTACTTCTGGAAGGATGAAAGGTTTAAATGAACGGAGAGGAAAATACAAATATACTAAAAGGTGAACTATAAACAGGAGAAGATATTTGCAACACACATAGCAAAGGACTACATTTGTAATACACAAAAAATCTCTTGCAAATCAATGAGAACATGAGCAAGATAAATATAACACAGGATTTGAACAGTCATTTCATAGAAAAGAAAATATAAATGACATTTATTATTTATTTATTTTTTAAAAATTTATTTATTTATTTTGAGGGTTTTTTTGGGGGGGTTAGATTTATTTATTTATCTATTTATTTTAATGGAGGTCCTGGGGATTGAACTCAGGACTTCGTGCATGCTAAGCACACACTTTACCAGTGAGCTATATACCCTCCCCCATAAATGGCTTTTAAAAATATGAAAAGTTGATGAAAAAGTTCTGGGGAATCTGCTGTATGCATGATGACTGTAGTTAATGAGATTGTATTATATCCTTGAAATTTGCTGAGAGAAAAGTTCTTAAATGTTCTCGCCACACACACAAGTAAGTATTACGCGAGTTAACAGATGTGTTAACGATGCAGTAATCATTTCCCAGTGTATACATTGTACCAAATCATTTCGTTGCTCTCCGTAAGTTTACAGTTACATGTCAATTAAATTTCAGTAAAGCTGGAAAAAATAGGAAAAATTGCTCATGATGACTGAATTTAAGAAACAAAAATGACAATAAAAAGGAAATACTTTTTTTTTTCCTTAAAAATGTTGACAGAGATCTCAGTGTAGTAACAGAAGTGTTGTTCTCCAGAGTGTGAGGAAACATTGTTTGGTGCATTGTAAATTGTGACCACCTCATTCAAGAGTGATTTCATTGGGAACTATATTTCATATCTTATAATAGCCTATAATGAAAAAGGATATGAAAAGGAATATGTGTGTGTGTGTTATATATATATAACTGAATCACTATGCTGTACACCAGAAACTAACACAACATTGTAAATTGACTATACTTAGATTAAAAAAAATTTTTTTAAAGAGTTATTTCACAATGGTTTCCAAAATTTAAAATATACATACATTAAACGTGGTCATTCAACATCTTAGGAACTTATACTCAGTACACTTTCACATGGGCAAAGAGACATAGGGACAATTTTTTTTTATTGCAGCATTGTTTCATGTTGTGTAATACTAGAAAAAACCTAAATGTCCATAATAAGGGCATTTGTAAAATAAATAATGGTACATGTATACCATGTACATGGATATACATATATCTGATTCCTTATTCCCTTGGTTTTCTCATCTAGTTTATTGGCTTTAAAAATGGTGCATGTGTGTGGATGTTTCCTGCATTTTATCTGCAGTTCAGTTCTCTCTCCTGAATTCCCTTACCAGATTGCTACTCGGTATCTTCACTTGGATGTCATAATGCATACTCAATATGTCTGAACTCTTGCTCTATGCTCCCCCCCAACACACCTACTGCAAGTCTCACTTCCCTGACAGCCTTCCTCATCTCGGTAGGTGGCAGATTCCATCTTCTGTTCACTCAGTCCAAAAACCTTAGAGTCATCCTCTCTTTCTCTCATAATCAATTTTCAGTTGGTCAAGAAATTATTTTTATTCTACCTTCAAGTTATATCCAGACTCCTACCACTTTTCACCACAGTGGCTGCTATTATCTGGTCTACATCACCATTATTTCTTGTCTGGACTATTGCAGTAGCCAGTCATCCTGTTCTCATCAAAGCGAGCAGAATGATTGTTTTAAAACATTAACTCGAATCAAATGTTATTTTTTCTGCTCAGAACTCTGCAGTGAGTCCCATTTCACTCAAAGTAAAAGCCAAAGTCCCTACAGTGACCTGCAAGGACTTCCATGATCTGGTCCCTGTTCATTGTTTTTTTGATATCATTCCCTGTTACTCATTCTGTTTCTCATTCACCCTCAGCCACCTTCCTTTCTTTGATGCTTCTTGAAAAACTTGTGATCTCCCATCTTACAGCACTTTTTCCTCCACCTGCAGTGCTCTTTCCTTGGATAGCTACAGGGCTAACTCCCTGACTTCCTTTAGGTCTTCGCTCAAATGTCCACTTTCAATGCGAGTCACCCTGACTACCTCCTTGCCTTACCTTTTCTTTATTACATGGTACTTACAACCTGTTAAACTGTAGCCTTGACCTGTTTGTCATACTTATTGTAGATTGTCTGTTTCACTGGTTATAATGTAAGCTTTGTCTGTTCTTTTCAGCAATAGATCCCAAGGGTCTAGAATATGTTGAATCAATCAATAAATGAAGCAGCCTGCAAGACAAATAGAAAAACTCAAAGTATGTAACTATTCATGGCAATCTGTAAAACATATATAAATGATATAAACGCTTGTAGATAAAATAGCTCTGGAAGACTGTGAAAGAACTGGTAAAATTGGGTGCCTTTGGGAGAAACACTGAGTACTAGGGACGGATAGGGAGGCGCATTCTACACTTTTTGGAATTTGCACTTATCACTTCTTCAATTAAAGAACAAACTAACTGAAAACTGCAATGCATAGCTGAGCATTATTCTGGAATTCGAACTTCTTTATAAAGTAGAGTCTTTAACTTTTTGACTTCTTTAGAAAATGTTTAATTGTATTCTTACCAGTAGGTGGCACATACTTCCTGACAAATTCTTAAAGACTCAGACAACAGGTTATTTACAAAACAGAAACAGACTCACAGACGTAGAAAACAAACTTATGATTACCAGTAGGGTAAGGGGGTGGGAAGGGATAAATTGGGAGTTTGAGATATGCAGGTACTAAATACTATAGATAAAATAAATAAACAACAGGTTTCTACCATAGAGTACAGGGAACTGTATTCAATACCTTGTAGCAACCAATAATAAAAAAGAATATGGAAAGGAATATATACATACGCATATATATGTATAACTGAAAAATTGTGCTGTACACCAGAAATTGACACATTGTAAATCGACTATATTTCAATAAAAATAAAGTAATTAAATTATGTGACTTCAAAAAAAAAGTTCTTTAGTTCCCCAAACTCGCAAAAGTTTACTATAGCAATGTATCATATTCATTTTCCTCAAGAAATTTCCGTAACTTCAATTGTTTAGTGCTATATCAACTTTTAGGTGATTTTTCACTGCCTATAAATTCTTAACTCATCTTTATAACATTTGAGTTGCAGGACTGTCTTAAATCTGCAAATGTCAGCCTTAGATATTCTTAAATTGACTTAAATTTTCCAATATTTATTGAATTGTATCTGCCTATCTTTTCATCTTTTCTCATATGAAATAACTTAATAAGTGAAATTTAAATATTCTGTGTACAAAGATATATTTTTGATTATATTTTTTCACTTTTTATGCCAAATAAGTTAGTGTCCAGGGACCACATGTAATTTAACACCTCTATTCTTTTTGATGGTAAAGTTTTCAAAAAGAAAAGGGTAGCATGCATTTTATAAATTGTAGTGTTTGTAAACATTATAAAAACCTTTTATGGGCAAGCTTTAAAAACAGCATTGGCAAAATTATTGGGCCAGATAATTTTATATTCATTTTTAACCTAGAGATTCTTTGATTCTGTTTTTCTTTTCAAATTGTAGTTTTTAAAAAACTAAATAAACATTTTAGAAAAAGTGCTGTGTTCAAGTAGAATAACATTTATTGAATGTTTACAGAAAACATTCATCTATTATTTTATTTAATGCTTATGAAACCTTATGACAATCGTGTTATCCACATTTTACAGGTGAAGAAATTGGGGCACAGAAAGTTTCAAAAACTTGCATGAATGTATCAACTAGCTGCAGTAACACCAAAACTAGCTGTAAATGAAATTAATCTTATTACAATAAGAAACTAGACTTTTCAGTTTTTACCACTTCTTTATCATTGCTGTGTTAAAAGGGAATTAACAGTATTCTGATAAAATGTATTAATATTCACTACTTTGTTACATTGGTGGTCTTAACTTTCTGTACCTTTCTAAGTGTGAGATGAATTATATTATAAGTATTACCTTAGTCAATGAAGACTCTGACCCTTTTGGCTATTAATATGCAAAAGTTCTACAATTTTGCTCTTTTCTAAAATACTAATAAAAGAATAATCAGATACCAAAGTGTAAGTAATCTATTGTACAGTGCTCAGATTTAGTTCTAGCTCAACTGCTGAATCGAGTGGATGCTAAAACAAAATTGTAAATTTCAAAATGAACCTTATTTTCTGTCTCTCTTTAGCCAGGAAAATGTAACAAGAAGAAGAAGTGGTACAAAAGTGCACTCCAAGAAGCGTACCTGCTGTATGGATTTTCTGATGAGCAAAGACTGGAGATGTGCTCCCTCACAAACCAGGGTACATGCATTTTTTATTCCTTACCACCCCTAAAATAAGGATTTATTCAGGGGCATGCTTTCCAAAATATGTTGCCATTAAAAATCTCTCCTCTTCATAGGAAAATAGTATATCTTCGTCCACTGAAAAATCATTTTATATGGATTAATAGTATGTATTTTGCTCTCTTGAAGCAATTTTCAATGACTAAGCACACGCTCTGTTTAAATGCTGGGGCTTTAATTAGTGCTTCTGTCATCTTCTTTGTTCTTAGTCTTTCTGCATAGGTCCTGCTGGTGTATTTCAAAGCATATATTTCAAAATTAGCAGCTGTGGCTTTTAAAATATACTCCTGGAGCGAAACTTTCCCTTGGATATTTCAGAGCAAAGTATTTTTCAAAATATTTTATTTCTAAGTAAATTCAAGGTAAATATAAAAGGTAATAACTTTTTTTTTATTTTGGTGAAAAATATGATATTTCAGGTCAGTTTCAAAGAAAGTTCTCTTAAATCATAAACATTCTGGTTTATAGATAGCTTTTTAAGTGAATTCATCATCAGATTTACAGTAGGTGTAGCACATTTTTAACTCTTAAAAAGAATATAATAGTTGCATGGAAATGATTTTTTGATAAACAAATATATTTAAATTTTTTCTGCTCAGTGATCATAAGAATTTTTTTTATCTTACAAGGCCCATCTCACTTAATCAACCTAAGTTCTAACAGATTATTCTGTGGGAGGATCTGATTTGGTGCCGAGTGAATTTTAAAGTAAGAGTGATATTTTTTCCTCCTTTGCAAAACTTTAATATGTATTTTTAAAAACTTATATGTAAAAGCATTTTATTTGAGAAAAAGTTTAAATGTTAACCCAGCCATCTAAGTTTCGATTTCAAAGCATATAAGTAGGTTTGAAAAGAGTGGAAAAAGAATGGCAAGCAAACTGCTCTGGTAAAGAGACATTTACTGCCACAAATGTGGTTTTATTCCTTGTACTGAAAACACAGTTTCTTTGTTTATTAGCAATAAAGGTTGAACTCCCTTTATTGTCACAAATGCAATTTTCTTCTCGCGTGGACTAGACATTTCTCTTGTGTAACCAGCATAAACTTTGAAATATTTAGTTTTTCTAAACATTAGTATTTTGAGCCGGAGAGGGTGTAGCTCCGCAGTAAAGGGCACACTTAGCAGGCACCAGGTTCTGGGTTCAATCCCCAGTACCTCCATTAAAAAAATAAGTAAATAAATGAAGAAACCAAAAAAATGGTAAAAAAAAAAAATAAAAAGAAGCCTAATTACCTCCCCTTCAAAAATTAAATAAAATAAAATTTTAAGAAATTTTAAAAAGCATTAATATTTTGAAGTGATATGGTCTTTGACTTTTAAAAAGCATATTACAGCCATTTCACACTAGCAGGAACCTGCTTTCTCAAAAAGTCATGGAACTATGTCTCTTGTCACTGTCGTGTGTTTTGGGCACTTAAGTCCAGGTCCTTTGGCATTCCTGCATACACACACTCTTCACTGTCTCCAAAATAGACAGTTTAATCCTGGGTCTGCTTAGCTTGCAGGGTGACTTTAGGACATACGCAGCTTCTTACTGCGATCAAAGTAGGTTTGAGAGATAATTAACCATTCAGATTATTTTACACAAGGTGAGTTGCTTGGAAGCAAACCATTTATCTCGTCCTGGCAACTTCGAGGATTTCTCTACCCCCAGATTTCTTCTTCCAACCCAGAAATAATTACTACTAATTTTTTGGCCTAAATTCTTTTTTACCCTGTAGAAATTGGCACACTATTATGTTTGATGCAACTCTTTCATTGTTGAAATCTGCAGGGTCAGTAAATGATGTGTAAATACAGACCCAGTGATAGTGTAACAGATTTCAGGGTCCTGTACACAGGACTGGGTTATCCTGTTTTTGTTGCATTAACTGTTACTCCACATGAAGTAATTCTTCTGCTGGTTCTAGGAAGCGTTTTCTTATGTAGGAACATTCATTATAATTGTATTTTTTAAACACATAGGGTATTATTCACATAATTTTTCTTGACTCAGATCTTGTCCGTATTTTGTTAGATTTATGGCCAAGTATTTCATTTTGGGGGGTATTAATATAAATAGTAATGTGTTTTCAATTTCAAATTCCACTTGTTCATTGCTGGTAAATAGGAAAGTGATTGACTTTTGCGTGTTAACTTTGTATCCTGCAACTGGCTGTAGTCACCTGTTTGTTCCAGGAGTATTTTCCTTGATTCTCTCGGATTTTCTACTTAGATAATCATGTCATCTGCAAAGAAAGATAGTATTATTTTTTCCTTCTCAGTTTGTACCTTTCATTTTCTTTTACTGTCTTACTGCATTAGCCCGAAATTCCAGTACAGTGTTGAGAAGAGTGGTGAGGAAAGAACGTCTTTGACTTGTTTCTGATCCCAGGGAGAAAGCTTTGCGTTTCTTGCCATTAAGGATGATATTAGCTGTAGGTTTTCTGGAGCTTCTCCTCATCAAATTGAGGAAGTTTCCCCCTATTCCTAGTTTGCTGAGAGTTTTTACCATGAATGAATGGGTGTTGAATTTTGTCAAGTGCTTTGTCTGCTTCTATTAATGTCATGGATTATATTAATTGAACTGATTTTGAATGATGAACCAACCTTGTATACCTGGAATAAATCCCACTTGGTTGTGATATGTAATTCTTTACAATGTTAGATTTGATTTGCTAATATTTTGTTGGACTTTTTTCATCTATGTTCATGAAGAATATTGGTTGCTCTGTAGTTTTCTTGTAATGTCTTTATTTGGTTTTGGTATTTCAGGTAATACTGGCTTCACTGAATGAGTTAGGAAGTATACCCTTCCTGGAAGAGTTTATACAGAATGGGTATAATTTCTTCCTTAAATGTTTGGTAGAATTCACCAGTGCCCCCACCTGGGCTTGATGCTTTCTGTTTTAGAAGATTATTGTATTAATTCAATTTTTAAAAGAGATACAGGAGGCCTCTACAGATTGTCTGTTTCTACTTGTGTGACTTTTGGCAGGTTGTGTTTTTCAAAAAGTTGGTCCATTTCATCTAGGTTACCAAATTTGTTGGCATAGAGTTATTCATAGCATGCATTTATTATCCTTTTAAATAAGGTCTGTGGGATCTGCAGTGATGTCCTCTCTTTCATTTTTGATGTTAGTAATTTATGTTTTTGCTCTTTTCTTTTCTTAGTTAGCCTGGCTAGAGGTTTATTGATTTTATTGATTTTTCAAAGAAACAGCTTTTTTTAAACGTTTTTTATTGAGTTATAGTCATTTTACAATGTTGTGTCAAATTCCAGTATAGAGCACAATTTTTCGGTTATACACACGAACATACATATATTCAGTGTCACATTTTTTTTTCCCCTGTGAGCTACCACAAGATCTTGTATATATTTCCCTGTGCTATATAGTAGCCAAAACATGGAAGCAGCCTAAATGTCCATCAACAGATGACTGGATAAAGAAGATGTGGTATATTTATACAATGGAATACTATTCAGCCATAAAAATGATGACGTAACGCCATTTGCAGCAACATGGCTGTCCCTGGAGAATGTCATTCTAAGTGAAGTAAGGCAGGAAGAGAAAGAAAAAATGCCATATGAGATCACTCACTTGTGGAATCTTAAAAAAAAAAATTAACATAAATACAAAACAGAAACAGACTCATAGACATAGAATGCAAACTTGTGGTTGCCACGGGGACAGGGGGGTGGGAAGGGACAGACTGGGATTTCAAAATTTGTAGATACTGACAGGCATATGCAGAGCAGATAATCAAAGAAACAGCTTTTGGTTTTATTTATATTCTCTCTTGACTCTCGGTTTCCAATCTCATTGGTTTGTCCTCTAATTTTTATTTCTTTTCTAATATTTACTTGAGATTTGACTTGCTCTTTTTTCTTGTTTCCTAAGGTGAAAGCTTGGCTTATTGACTTTAGATCTTTATTCTTTCATAATATATGCATTCAATACTATAAATTCCCCTCTAAACACTGCTTTCACTTCATTTCACAAATGTTGATAAGCTGTATTTTTTTCATTTAGTTCAAAATGTTTTTGAATTTATTTTGAGATTTCTTTTTGATCCATGTGTTATTTAGAATGGTGTTGTTTAAGCTCCAAGTATTTGGGGATTTTTCCAATCATCCTATTTTTGATTTATACTTTGATTCCATTGTGGTCTGAGAGCACACTATTGTAAAATACCTGTTTTTAATTTGTTAAGGTATGTCTTATGGTCCAGAATGTGGTCTATTATGGTGAGTGTTCCAGGTGAGCTTGGGCACAATGTGACTCTGCTGTTGTTGGATGAAGTAGTCTGTAGATGTCTGTTGTATCCAATTGGTTGACGGTGCTGAGTTCAACTGTGTCCTTACAGATTGTATGCTTGCTGGCTCTGTCCATTTCTGATGGAGGGTGTTAAAGTCTCCAGTTATAATAATAGATTGATCTATTTCTCCTTGAGTTCTTTCAATTTTTGCCTTACTTATGTTGACACTCTGTTAGGTGCATTCATGTTAATGACCATTATGTTTTCTTGGAATATTGATCACTTTATCACTATGTAATTTTCCTCTTTTTTACTAATAAAGTTTGTTCTATATTAAATTAATATAGCTACTTCTGCTTTCTTTTGGTTAGTGTTAACATAGTATATCTTTCTCTATCCCTTTACCTCCGCCTAAAATATGTCTTTATATTTAAAGGGAGCTTTTTTGTACACAGCATATAGCTGGGTCCTGTTTGTTGATTCACTCTGACAATCTCTGTCTTTTAATTGGTGTATTTAGACCATTGATACTTAAAACGATTCTTGTTATAGTTGGGTTAATATCTACCATGTTTGTTACTATTTTCTGTTTGCCTTGTTTTTTTGTTCTTGTTTTTTCTTCCACTCTTTTTTTTGCCTTTTGTAGTTTTGAGTATTTCACGTAATTCTGTTTTCTCTCCTTTTTTAGCCTATCAATTATACTTCCTTTTTAAC